GGGGCTGTCCCCCAATACATTAAGACGTCAGGTAGCAGCCTTATCTACAGTCATCTCCTGTAAAGAAGCCAGTTCCCTCTCTCACCATCCCCGTATTCGGGCCTTTTTGAAAGGGGCCACAAATTTACATCCTCCGTCCCTCCACCGGTACCCAACCTGGGACCTCAACAGGGTCCTTACCTCCCTCACAAAACCACCCTTTGAACCCTTAAGAGAGGTTTCTCTTCAGTTTCTATCATACAAGGTAGTTTTCCTTGTAGTGATCACATCAGCCCGTAGGATATCAGAGATCGCTGCGCTGTCCATTAGGAAAGACCTTTGTGTATTCCATCCCGACCGAGTGGTCCTCCAGCTTGACCCTTCCTTCTTGCCCAAGATCAATTCGGTTTTCCACAGGGCTCAGGAACTTATCCTCCCTAATTTTTGCCCCAGGCCAACTCAGGAGAGGGAGAGACTATGGCACACTCTGGACGTCAGACGTGCCTTGCAGATTTACATTAAACGCACTGAGACCTTTCGTAAGTCCGAGGCCTTGTTTATATCCTTCCAACCTAAACCACAAGGGCTCAAGGTTCCTCCAACCACCATAGGCCGTTGGATAAGGGCGACCATTGCCAAAGCATACCAGGCTCAGGCCCTTCAGATGCCCAGGGGTATTAAGGCTCACTCCACTAGGAGTGCGGCAACTTCAGCTGCCTGGGCTACCCAGGCTCCAATAATCGACATTTGCCGGGCAGCGACATGGGCCTCCCCGTCACCCTTCATTAGGCATTACAAGATTGACAGGTATGCCTCAGCCGAGGCTTCTTTCGGTAGAAGGGTTCTTCAGAGGGTTCTTAGGGAACCCGAGGGGACTACAGACCAGATGGCGCCCCTCCCGTAGGACAGGCCCAGCTTTGGTATGTCCCACTCTCTGGATGATCCAAGCAGCTCTAAGGAGAATGGGCGTTGGTTCTTACCTGACACGCCATTTCTCTTCGAGCTGCGAGGATCATCCAGCCCCTCCCTTATCTTTCACCATCTGGTGGGGTCTTGTTTCGGCCAATGAACCTTTAAGTCTAGTAAGATGAGAGCACGAATTTCTGTTGCCTCTCGCCTTCGCATAAACTGGGGAACGCTGTAATGGAGTCACATGAGCTCAGCCTACAACAGCAGAGACTGAAGCACCACCCACTCTCTGGATGATCCTCGCAGCTCGAAGAGAAATGGCGTGTCAGGTAAGAACCAACGCCCATTCTCAAGAAGTCAAGTGATTACAAGAACAGCTGTTCCTCGGGGCTAGCAACTTTCAACTGGTTTTTTTATATATATATATATTTCCTTTGAAGCTTATCTCTAGGCTTTTGTGTTTGTGATTGTTTTACTGGTCTTAATCCTGTCTGGTGATTGTGTCCTTCAGTCTTGAGGGCAATCTCTTGAGGAAGGAAGGGGAGTGAATGCTAGCGGGTTTGAGTGAGTAAATGTGCTTGAAATGTTTTTATCATCCAATCTTCACTTTCTAGCCCTTGGATAAATGTTTGTTCTTTATAATTAATCTTTTGTGTTTGTTTTCTGGGCTTGTGTCCTGGGCTTTCTGTTTGTGTTTAGCTAAAGTAGTCTTTTGTGTTTGCAAGGTCCCTGGCCTCAGGTTTGTTTTCCTTGTTATCATGGTTTACTTTTCTCTTTTCCTGCTTGTCCTGTTTCTTAATATATCTTTTTTTCTGTGTTCTGATATTTTGTAAATGCTTTCTTTTCTAATGTACCTAGAGTTCTAATTATTTTGGTCTGGTTTCTTTTCTTTTGGATGTTTGCTTTATAGCAATTTTCTATTCTAGTGTGCTTGGAGTTTTAATTTCTTCAGCTTGGGGTATTTGTAAGATAAAGTTTGTATTTGGGTGCAATTTGTTATCTATTTGGTGTCTAGTCTAGCTTTTAATGGTAACTTTGTCCCAGCAGAGATTTTTCTGGCCTGGTCTTTCCATGGCAGCACTGTCTCAATGTAGTTCCCTTCCTACACAGTCTTTTGCTTTTTTTGCACTGCATCTTGTTAAAGCACTCTAACACACACACACACCCCATTTTCCTGGTTCACAGTTTTAAGCTTTTATTGCCCTTTTTGTTCCCTGTTTGCGGTTACTGCTGGCACCTTGCTTGTTTGTGGCTTATTAAATGTTTTTAAAGACAGCTTATACTATTTCTAATTATTAACATCTTATGCTAAGCATTTTTAGAAGCAATACATACTCCAATTTGTTTTACATATAATGATCATATCATGATATATATATCTGCGCTAAACCAGAATCAGAGAAAGTAACGAAAATTGCACAGAGATGTGGCAACATAAAATAATCCTGGGTAAACAGAAGGAAAAGAGCGGATTTAACCAATATAACCGTTTTTCAGTTATAACCTTTGCAGGAGCTCCACAATCATGTGATCAAAATTCAGGTGCTTCGCAACTGGTTCATATTTATGACCACTGCAGTGTCCTGGGGTTATGTGATCCCCTTTTGTGCCCTTCAAAGCCAGATTCACTTAATGAGGTTGCTAACTTATCAACTGAAGTGATTCACTTAACAACGGAGGCAAGAACAGTCCTGGGGCAAAACTCACTTAACACATAACTGGAAGGTACCAACTTTATTTTAAAAATGCTTTGTATCTTCTACAGATCAAATTCAGAAGGCAGAAAAGTAAGTCTGTTGCATTCCTTGATCAAGATGCTTGATTGAAAATGCTGCTTAATATTGTTCTTGAGTCTCTGATTGATTAATTGACTGATTGATTTACTGGAGCTTGTAGACCATTCAAATTCAGCAGGATTCGAAGTGTACTGGCAGACAGAGAGAGAGAAAAAAGGGGGGAAACTGTGCTGCTACTGATGTCTCCCCCGGCTCCATTGCTTAATAATTGATATAGGAAAGGGTCATGTCTCCTTTGATCTCAAGAGTGTGGATGCGTCTAGTCAAGGCATAATGATGGGCCAAGTTGAACAGGTGACGGCCACTGGTATAAACCTTGAACTTGTGTCTGTCACAGCAGATCATGATCTGAGAAGGGAGGAAGGACATTAGTCTGGCAAATTAGCACATCTGGGCCACTTTTGATCCTCCAGGCAGGAGGGTCTGCCACCTACACCACCCACAGCTTGCATCAAAATCAAAACGCATGTCCAGTTCATAAAGGGTGGAGGTTCATTGAGAGGCATTGCAACTGCCACCCTCTTCTCTCCCCGTCCCGAAAAACCCCAAGGGCAATGCAAGGACAATTTTCCAGGAGACACCTAAAATCATGTCGTCAAGCTTTGAAGTTGCACTTTGGCTGTTACAACTATTGTCGCTTCTCGGCTCGCCTATGAACCATTGGGGAGGGAAGGGGGAGATGGAATGTGGGCTCCAGACATCAAGAAGCCAGCCATGAGAACCAAGGACACTTTGGCAGGTGTTTACCAGAGCCAACAGACTTTCTCACAACAATACCAGGAGACTCCATTGGACAATGTGACCTGATCTAACAGGGGGAAGGAGAATCTAAACTTTAACTAGGTGGGTTTGCACGGGAAATAGTTAGATCTGGCTTTGCGCTCATCTTTGCCAAAACGATGTACTCAATAAAGTTTTGCGTTAAGAGATGGTATTGTCTCGGCCATGCTTACTTTGGTTGAGTTTGTCAGTCAGAAGGTTGACACATGGTTCTCAATGCTCCCAAACAGGTGTGAACCCATTAAATACCACCTCTGTTCTTGATGAGTGTATTTAATTTTTTTCTTATGTACACTGAGAGCATATACACCAAAGACAGATTCCTTGTATGTTCAATCACACTTGGCCAATAAAGAATTCTATGCTATTCTATTCTGAAGCAGAAATGGGAATTTCTAATTGTGTCCATGAATCATCACTGCTACAGAACATTTGTTAACCTCCAGTTACATTATAGCTACAATTCAAGGTGTTGGTTGTCTTCTAAAAAGCCCTTATGTGTATGGCCTGCTTATCTCTGGGACTGACTGTCCTCAGTTGTTTCAACCTGTCTGGTATGTTGAGACCAGGCTTGTCCAACCAGTGGATCCCTGGTCAGTTGGTAATGAGGCCCCACAAGATCATGAAACATTAATGGGGTTCTAGAGCTAAATGGGATTCTGGAGTCCCTACGCTAAATTGTAATGTGGTTTCTTTGAGAGTTGCAAATAATATGAGTAGAGCCATTTTAGTTAAGCTGAGTATAAATGTTTAGCAAGTTATGGAAACCTGCTGATAGTTATCCAGATCCATCCGGTTCCATGAGGCTTCTGTAGATTCTTCCCAGCCATTTGAAGCCATATTTTTGAGCCCCAGTCCAATAATTCTGGCCTACAGAGGTATTTGGGCTGCTGGGCCTTTCTAAGAGTAAAAGACACTGTTTTGTCCTCAAGAGGACTAGAAACATCGTGCACCGTTCGTCACTTTGATTTTTCTCTCCTGCCAGTGCATGTTGTACAATTGGGCTGTCCCTTGGGCCTTGAAAGCGGACTCCTGGGTGATGTGGAAAGCCTCATTCTGAAAATAAGTAACTCAGCACCAGTCCCTGCAGAGAGTACCTGAGTTGGGTTCACACAACACATTTAATTGGCTCCTGCATGCCCACATTTGGGGGAAATGGATGGTAAATTTGCCATGTGGGTTGAGTTCACTCTAACCAAGGTTCAGACAAGATGTGTGAATGGAGCTGCTGGTCTTTAATGGGCATCTTAGGCTTTCTGGAACCCTTTTGGGGGGGGGGATTCATTTGTCCTTTTGAAAAAGTTCCATTCCCAATCCATGCACCCTGCAATTTGTGAATTATGCAAAGCCATAAGATGGATCAGTATCCAGTATGGGGAAATCTGGGGGTTAAAATCCACATATCTTAAACTTGCCAAGTTTGGGAAACATGGTTCCCATAAGTCTGGAGGGCGCCAACTTAAAAAAAAAAATTTTGTATCATCTACAGATCAAGTTCAGAAGACAGAAAAGTAAGCCTCTTTTGCATTTCTTGATCAAATGCTTTATTGAAAATGTTGCTTAATATTCTCAATTATTCTTGAGTGTCTGATTGATTGATTGGAACTTGTAGACCACTCAAATTCAGCAGGATTGTAAGTGTACTGGCAGAGAGAGAGCTGCTACTGATCTCTCCCCCCCCCCCAATTGCTTAGTATTTAATGTAGGAAAGGGTCACGTCTCCATCGATCTCTAGGGTGCTGATGTTTTTGATAGGGACATAACGATGGGTGTAGTTGAAGAAGGGCTGGTCGTTGGCATAAAACTTGAATTCACGGTTGTCACAGTGGATTGAGAGCTGGGGAGAGAAGGAGGATGTTAACATGGCTGTAGTAGCACATCTGGATCACCTACGGCCCTCCATGCGGGAGGGTACGCAGTCTACACCATCCATAGCTTGCATCAAAATCAAAAGGCACCTCCTATATGGGGACTTTAATGGGGGGGGGATCACAACTGCCATGCTGTTTTCTATACACACACACACACACACACAGGCATGTGAGAATAATTTTCCATCAGAGAGCTAAAAACATGATTCTGAATGGCATTCTGGTGAGGCTATTCCACTCATCTCCAACAGAGGGGACATCCCACCAGCCTTCCCAAGCATTCAGATTCCAAAGTTGTATGGAAAATGGAGTCTTACACAATTGGAAGGCATCAGCTGGATCTTCTCTCCACTTCCCACTGCTTGCCCTCCCTGCTTTCTTGCTGGCAACCAGCCAAGCTCTTTGCTGGCATCCAGGGGTATCCGCACAAGCCAGGTAAAATATGGCCAATATATCGATTGCATATTGGCTTTTTTGACCTCCTCCTCCCTGTGGATACCCCTCCCTGCTGGAATCACAGCCAGCTCACTTTAAAGTACTGCCCAGGCTGGAAAGGGTTAAAGGTCAATTTGCGTTCCTTCCCCAGTTGCCATTCAAAAAACTATTGGGTACTACGGCTCTCCACAGTTACATGTGAAGGTTAATATGCAAAGGGATATCTTGGCCAGCCGTAAAATTGATTTCAAACCTTGGAAAGAGAGAAAAAAGCAGGCATCTCAGTCTTTGTCTCAGTATTTGGAGTAAATAAAGGGAAATTTGATTCCCCCCTGCCCCTTAATTCAATAGCAGCCTGCCAGATCCTTCCATGGATGAAGGATAAAGGGCGGGGGGACCAACTCTTGTTCCTTTTTTTCCAAATATTTATTGGTAGACTGCTGGTGAATGTATAAGTAAGTTCTAGTTAGCATTTTAGGTATTTATTCATTGCATTTACATCCTGCCACAGTTAAACCAACTCTCAGTGAGTTATAAATCAGACAGACACATATTAAGGAGCCCTGGTGGGGCCGTGGTCAGGATGCAGTAATGCAGGCTAACTGCCCACAACCTGGAGTTCGATCCTGATGGTGCTCTGGGTTGACCCATCCTTCCATTCTTCCGAGGCCAGTAAAATGACCCAGATTGTTGGGGGAAGGATGCTGACTCTGTAAACTGCTTAGAAGAGGCTGTAAACCACTATAGGGTAGTATATAAGTTTAATTGCTTTTGCTAAAATAAAAACATTCAGCAGCAGTCTAGCAGTGACAAGTATTCTTCAGATGAAGAACAGCTAATCGCTGCTTAATGACAGTTTGGCTCCAAATATTTCTTCAAATCCACTTTCTAAGCCGGAATTCCCCAAACTCTTTCGCTCATCCAACCTTACACCAAATTTCTGATTCTCCACTTTGGAGAAGCCTGCCTTAAGCTGACAGCCTTTGCTTTTTGTGGCAGTGAGTTCCACAGACTGTTTATACTGTGCAGAATTGTGCTTCCGCTCCCCTTAATCTCCCTTGTCCTCTGGGCTGATTTTGCAATTGCGTAAGGATGGGAGAGTCAGAGATAGGGGATCAACTGGGAAAGGACTACGAAAGGCCCTAGCACTGGTGCTTTGCTGTGTTAAATCCAAATCAGCCCTGCAAAAAAAAGAGAGAGAGAGAGAGAGACCGGAGACCTGGTAGCATTCTTCGGAATAATGCCTTGCACTGTGATGGTCCTGTTGGTTTCCAGACCTCCGGGAATGTCGCCCCTGTAGGGCACTGGCTGAAATAGACAAGAATCCAGGTTACACTTAGCACCCCCTGTCCAACTGTTGAGTTCTTGTGTGCTAGCTGGGGGGTCAGAGTAGTTGCAGCCCAGTAGGTCTTGGGCTGCCAAGTGGGAGACCCACAACGTGGCAGAAAGCAGCTTGTGAGATCTTATCTCACACCTTATCTTTGCCTGCATTCCTCGTGGTTACAAGCATCTCTGCCTTTTACCAGCCAAGTAATTTTTGGCCTCAATAGTAAGACACCAGCTGTTGCCCATGTAGGGCACTGGCTGAAATAGGCAAGAACCCAGGTTACACTTAAGACTCTCCAATGCAACCATGTGGCTCTCGTCCCTGCTAGTTGAAGGTGAAGGTAGTTGTAGTCCAGTAGGTCTTGCCCATGTAGGGCACTGGCTGAAATAGGCAAGAACCCAGGTTACACTTAAGACTCTCCAATGCAACCATGTGGCTCTCGTTCCTGCTAGTTGAAGGTGAAGGTAGTTGTAGTCCAGTAGGTCTTGGGGTGCCAAATGGGAGACCCACAACACGAGAGGGAGGCAGCTTGCAGGATTTTGTGTCAGGTGTTACAAGCATCTCTTCCTTTAACCAGGCAACTCAGGCACTGGCTCAAGTGGTTTGTTTGCTCAGTAGAGCTGTCTGCAGACTGTGGTCAAAATATGCAAGATGGAAGCCTGGATGGAGCCAACAAAGCCCAGCCTAGTGTTTCATGTGCAAGGACCACAGAAAATAGGTGGGGTGGTGATGTTGCTAGCATGGCTGCTGTGCTGACTTTTTGAATCACAGGCTGTGAAAGACCCTGCTTCACAAAAGACTGAGTTTATAGATGAAATCATCAGTCTTGGTTCTACTAGGTGGTTTCCTGGTGCAATATAGGTCTTTCTTTCTACTCTGCCCCATAGTGACCCAACAGCCTTCTTCCATCCCAACTTCTCTCGTTCAACTAGAGATTTTCTGAGTGATGGGGAGCCAGTAGCCTTTGACATGCGAGAAAGAGACTATTATCAATCCTCTCCTTAATCTCAAGGAAGCTAATTTTCCCTAAAATATTCCATTCATTGTTCCCTTTTCTTCCTTCTGTCTGATTTTAGAGGCTTGGTGAAACACTTGGAAGGTTACTTAGTAAAATTTCCAGTCCTTGTTGTTCACTGTAAGCATGATCAAAGCCAAACACTAGGAAATACTAAACTCCTTGAATTCCATCTGAATGCACACAGATGGATTCCCCACCTCCTGGTTTCTGTCCCGTCCCATAAATTTGGGTAAGTAAGGAGAGACATGCTCGGTACTTACTAGGTGGTAAATATGTGGGCATCTTCTAAGCCTTTCTGGGAGTTGAGACTACACAACATGAAGTTACCAAGATTGACTGAAAGGTGCTTTTTGAAAAGGCAACTGGACTTTGTTTTTTCTTGAAGGTGTTTCACTTCTCATCCAAGAAGCTTCTTCAGCTCTGACTGGATGGTGGAGAATGGAAGGATTTATATTCCTTGCAGACAGCTGATCATTTGCATCTTTTTAGAGGGCCATTGAGGTCACTTGAAGGTTTATCTATCTCCTCAATCATTCTTTTGAAAACAGAAAAGTCCACTGCTGGTTTGAAAGAGGGATCGAAAAGGCCATCTGTGTCAAAACAACCCTCTCTCAACAGAGGGGGAGGGATATGATGTCATCTATCTGCAGTCTTCAAAACAGTCCTTTCAGCAGTTCCAAGAAAGCTCCACACCCATTTGCACTACCTAGGTGACCCAGGCAAACCTCCAAGTGTCCTCAACGACCCTCTAAAAGAAGCAAATGACCAACTGTTTGCAAGGAGTATAAATCCTTCCGTTCCCCACCATCCAGTCAGAGCTGAAGAAGCTTCTCGAATGAGAAGTGAAACATCTTCAAAGAAAAACAAGAAAGTCCAGTTGCCTCTTGAAAAAGCACCTTTGGGACAACCATGACCTGGATGATGGAGAATCTCCGTAGACATTTGCCAAGGTTGAGAAACTACTTTATGGCCCTCTGCAAGGTGGAAAGCAAGACCTTGGCCTCGAGTAAACTTTCTCCCTGTGCAGTATCAGTATCCAGTATCACCCTTGGATGGTTATCTGTGATGACCTGGGGTGAGGCACAAAGGTAACATAGCCAGAGAATAAGTGTGAGTTTCTTTAATAGCTCCAACTTTGCCCTCAGCGTCCCTGTTACTCTCCGGTCAGGAAAAAAAACTCACCCACGAACCTGTACCAGCCTTTGGCTGCAGATACTTCAGTCCAAACATTGTAAACAGAAACCTTCAAATTATAAATCCAACAAGGCAACATAAGGTAATAAGTTCAGCAGAACAAGATAAGGAGTTCCAAAAGTGAAGTAATAAGGCAGTAAATCAAACCAGTTGGGAGGATGCCAGGAACTCAGACAACAGCAGCCTACACTAGTTGAACTCAGTGTTTGTTCCTGACAACCTCCCCTCCCATCTGGTTCTCCTTTAAACTCCATCCCCAGGGTTTCCTTGTGAAAGGAATCGGTGTCACGCAACCCTCGTTGCTCTCTTCTCCGTTCTTTCCTGCACACCCTAGGATGAGAAGGGGCTGAGCATTGGTCTTCATCTGAACTCCCTCTCCCTTATTCTACCTCTCCCCTGTTCTGCTCAGCCTGACTTTTTGCCCTTCGCCAGTTTCCTCCAAAGCCAACGGAGCCACACTCCCTTCGTCTTCCCCTTGTAAGCAAGCATTGACATAAGC